TTCATCAACCGTCATCTTATGTCAATTTATAGATCCAGATCAACCAGATCACCCAATAATTTACTTTATAGGATTATCTTCTCCTGGATGAGCAGCTAGAAACAGTAGATATTGACTCTTCAGCAATCCCTCACACTAAGCATGCTTGTAGCGACAGTGGAGAGGAAAACCTCCAGCAGAACCAGGCTCAGTGTGAGCGGCCATCTGCTGAGGCCCACTGTGGTTCAAGGAGACAGAAGCAGACATAGAAAAACAAGCATAGAAGCACCGATCTATAAATACGTTCAATGTTAGAAAAGCTAACGGTAAGCTAGCTCTACAGGTAGCTCTGTCTGGGAAAGCCACAGTTAATCAGATGAACTCTGACCTCCAACCCTGAAGGCCATAACAGCGAGGAAGAGAAATTGATTCTCCCGGAAACTCTCCAGGTTTTTCCAGGTTTCCATGGGATCAACCAACCTGGAACTTCAAGGTCGCTTGTCGTGCATTTCCATAGAAACCTGCAGGATTGTTTGCTTTAGCAGTTACTCAGTAGCAGAGGAGAAAGAAGCTCCTCTAAAGATTAAACAATAATAAGAACAACCTGGGAAACATTCTTCTTCACTTGAACTCAATACTTCCAGTTAAACACATAGAAAATACATTTTAGATATTATTGGCAATAGAATTTCTTTTAAAAAAAACCATCTGGTTGAAAACATTGTGAGGCATCCCTGCCAGTGACTGAAATCTAAACTCTGTTCTAACAATAGATCAATCACATGATCTGAACGTCTGCAGGCATCTTTGGAGGCTAGAAGATCTAAATGACTAAATTAATGGAAAATAACACAAAATGTTCAAATCCTGCCAACAAACATGTGATTTATCCTCCAATGCTGTGAAAACCAGGTTTGGAAAAGGCCTAGTTCCGTTAGACTAAACTAAAATGTGCTGAAATATCCAAACATTTCCATTTCATCTCAGCAGCTCAAAGTCTAATGAAGCTTCAGACTAAATGGTTTTGAGTTTTAGACTCATCATAGACGGACGCACACGTTTCATCAAGTGCAAAAACTCACATTTTAAATGAACTATCCACAAACTATTGATGCCTCAGATGCCTGAACTTTAGGCTCTAAAATACATTTTTAATTCAACATTAGATACTATTGATACTCCAGTCACTGCATGTTTAAGCAGCATGATAACTCGAACCCTTAAACAGACAGTGGAAGATTAGAACTAAAGTTAAAACAGCAAAGAGGCAAAATTCAACCTGTGATGTTTGAGGAGAAACAGGACTGGTTGGTCAAACTCTGCAGGTGAAAGCAGAGAATATGGAGGAGTGAGGATGAGGATGGAGGAGGAAGAGCCCAGCTGCTGGTAGACTGAAGGTAGCGACAGAGCGCCACCATGTGGAGCTTTAAATCCCTGCATTCATTCAGCCTTTTCCACAGTTTAAGGTCCATTTCCTAACAACGAATCATTTCTAGCTGATTATATTCATCAATCAGAGCAACTGGAATAAAACAGCTTTAAAAATATCTACTAGTTGGTTAAACAAAAAAGTTAATTTGGTTTGCTGTGAGCAATAAGTGAAATTATCAGATCTTCTCACTTATTGTTTTAAAACATGGAGAGGGACAATTCTGCAATAATGATGGCATTTATTTTATAACAAAAGAAGGAATTTTCCAATCAGATCAATCAGTTTTCAAACATGACTTTCTCTGTTTTCCATGTTCCAGCAGATTATTGCATTTCTCCCCAGCAGCCTCCAAGTTCTGCAGACGTCTGATAATCACCATTTATTAAGGCAGGAAACACCTGAACATCCAGTGGGTCCTGAGGAGCCAGTTAGAGAACCACTGTTATAGAGCAGCTACATTATTTGAGAATTTCGAAAACACATTCAGTTTATAGGAAGTCAATCAGATAAAAATCTTTTTTACAAAATAGATCTGATCAAATAATTATCTTATCTTATTATTTACATGCTGGTGAAGATTCTCAGTCATTCAGGTCATAAAAAAGTTAAAAAAAAACAATCCACTGGACTTTTCATCCAAGTTTTAAGATGTTTCTCTTCCCATCCGGGACGTTTTCTTCAATTCAAAATGTCTGGATTTATAGAGTGGACCTAAAAAGCCTTGTTTTAGCTTAGAAACGATGCATATCGAACCCAAAGAACAGGTCCACCCCTTAGGAACGGGGAGTCCTGGAGGTTTCTGTTAGGATGCAAACCTGATACTGATCAATGCCTCTGAAAGGGGGTGGGGGGGGGTCATTATTGGCCTGGCTGACCAGGTGAGATGTCCTGGTCCACTGCATGGCGATCATGGTAGCAGGGAATATCCAACTCTATCGCTGCCTTGTAGCTTTTTAAGAGCAGGTTCAGTTTGCATGTTTTCTAAGCCTAAACCAGGCTTTGTTTTTGGTCCACTCTATTAAACCTGGAACTAAACGCTATTTCTGACATTTTGAATTGAAAAAGCTTCCTGGATGGAAGAGAAACGTCTTCAAACTTGGAAACAAAGTCCAGTGGATTGTTTTTTGGACTTATTAATGAATTTATTGAGCTTTGGTAGCATTTACAGTTTTTTGATAAATACAACCGATAGTAACTGAATGAAGCTGCAGACAAATTTAAAATCCACTTCCACTAAAAACTGCATCACTAAGGTTTTCTACGCAGGTAACCCTGCTGCTCCTCCACATCGAGAGGAGCCAATTGAGGTGGCTTGGACATCTGGTTAGGATGCCTCCTGGACGCCTCCCTGGTGAGGTGTTCCAGGCACGTCCCACCGGGAGGAGGCCCAGGGGGAGACCCAGTGGGAGTCCCAGGGGGAGACCCAGGGGGAGACCCAGTGGGAGTCCCAGGGGGAGACCCAGGACTAGCTGGAGGGACTATGTTTCTCTGCTGGACTGGGAGCACCTTGGGATTCCCCTGGAGAAGCTGGACCAAGAGGCTGGAGGGAGGGACGTCTGGGCCTCCTTACTGAAGCTGCTACCCCCCCCAACCCGACCCCGGATAAGAGGAAGAAGATGGATGGATGGATGGATGGATGGATGGATGGATGGATGGATGGATGGATGGATGGATGGATGGATGGATGGACAGACGGATGGATGATGGACGAAACAACCAGGGTCCTGGGAATGCAGTAAAAATAATAAGTACTTCCCCATCCCTAAAAAAAACAAATCAAACAAAAAAAGTACTGAAGGACAATAATCTAATAAATGTTCTGTGTTCCTTCCCACTTTTGCCCAAACTAAATATTTGTACTTGTGGAAATCCTGGAAGTTTAGCCCATCCCAGTTTGAAGCTCCGACCTTAATAGGTCCTCAGGAATTCTCTGTTATTTGATAACTCTGGGCCGGTGAAGCCACGCCTTGGTGTCTGAATCAGCCAGCTATGACTGAAAGCCAAACAGTCACTGAACTTTGCAGAAACTCTTTCAACGGGTCAAGATTAAAGGAAGTAGCTGCTGAACTTGTTCCTCCTGATTCAGAGCCTCCTTCACCCCAAACCAACAGTTTCACGATCTTTGGCTGATTGTTCCTCAGGCTTCCTGGAGATTGGATCAATTGAAGGGAAATGAAACCTGCAGTAAATTCACAGCCATCAAAGGGATCCTCCTGAGAACCTCTGGGGGGTCTGATGAAATTGGTGGCTTCTAAGTATCTATTGTCTCTACAGAAGCCCAATCAGTCATGATGTTGGTTTTGCAATATTTATCTGTGGGCTGAGGTTTAGATAATTTCTCAATAATATCCTTCTTAAAGTCTCAGACAGCTCTGCCTCTGGATTTATGGAGAAATGACATTTGAGGGCCACGCCTAGAGCCCGCCATTTTGTTTACTGTGTTGCAAGGAGACGGTTTGGTTTGCTTTATAAGAAAATCTGCTGTCTATTGGGATCTCTTCCAGTGGTCCTAATTGGAGAATCTGGTGTTGGGAAGAGCAACCTGCTGTCCAGATTCACTAAAAACGAGTTCAACCACGACAGCCGCACCACCATCGGGGTGGAGTTCAGCACGCGGACAGTTCAACTCAACAGCTTCACTATCAAGGCACAGATCTGGGACACGGCTGGTCTAGAACGCTACCGGGCCATCACATCTGCGTGAGTACCCCTCACCTTA